TTTTGTCTACTTCAGTAGTTTGTTCCACAAAGTTGTTCTTGAGAATTAGAACAATAGTTTACTATGAGTACAGATGATACCAGGCCTAGAGTGGAGTCATTGACGAAGTAGTCAGAGTCACTTAATCCAGAGATTTGTCGAACACAAGTTCCTTATGAAGGTGTAGGACAGTGACTTTTGGGTTTCCAAGTGATGAAGTTGTGAACACTTGTTAAGTGCCACAAAAAGGAAGAAGTATTTGATGAAAAATTGCTGCAACATAGAATGAATTTGTGTTCTGTGGCTAGATCAAGAATGTGTTCTATTTTTATGGTTAATCCATGTGTGTTATCATTCATTGTGTCGACAAAAGCCTTGATGTCTGGTTAATGCATTGACAAAATGAATATCATTAATTTTATTTTGTTCAGGAAGTTTTATATATATTAATATGAATGTAAATTCTACAATGCATATCTCTATTTACTGTTCTAAATGAAATTATAAATATGAAAATGTATTTATATAAATCCATATATAAATATGAAATGACATGAAAATATTAGAAAAAAATGAAAAACAAGAAAATTTAAATTAGTCATCTGATTTTATTTCTCACTTTAATATTTTAGTGTTTCAGCTTTTCTCATTGAAGAATAAATATAAATGTTGAATTATCTACTACTAAAAATTTAAGTGTGGCTTATCATTGATGTGAATGCTTCATGTTTTATTTTATATATCAAAAACTGTTCTGTAAACAAAGATTGGTTATTTGATTAAATCATTTTTATAATACTTCAGATGCTTTCCTTGAGACTTACCAATGTTTCTCATTACTACTAAATATTAAATTAAGAAAATTATTCAGATATTTTTAGAACAAAATAATAATCAGTGATTAATGATGTAGAAAGTGTTCCAAGTTAACTGTCTTAGTTCATATATTCTCTTATTTAGCTCTATGAGGTTCAGATTTTGACCATTTATTGTAGGCTTATATTTTGTTTAAAAAACTATCAATTTGAAAATCAGATTATTATTATTACCAATTAATAGTTATATTTCTTTAAATTTAACTTAAAAACAACTATTGTACAGAATTTTCTTTTTATTGTTAGCAAAGATGCTTGCTCTCATATATATGTAAAATATATCCAAAATATGAAGAATATTGAAGATTCGAAAATCCAAAAATGTCCATTTTGTTTTATAAAGTTGTCTTAAACATTACATGCAAATAATAGCGAGATATATGTACAGTACTCTTAGAAACAGACTTTATGGAGCAGAGTGGTTATCTTTGAAATTTTCATTGCATGTTTTTAGAAGATATATTACAAAAGAATTTTGTCAATAACAAAAATATATTTACATGGTGGTTATAAGTTTGGAATAAGACTCAAGCATCAACACACAAAAAACCTTTATAATGCAGCCCTTTAATTCAAAATTTACTAACGTTTTCGGCCATTTTGAAAGGCCTTTGACAATTGAATGATTCTGATTTCAAAACCGATATTTGTTCTGGAACTTTTTGAATTTTCTTATATGACTAGTGAGCAGGCTATATAAATAAATTACAAACAATATTGGTACTTGTACCAATATACACAAAAAATATAAACAAATATAATACATGAATAAATAAAANACAGTGACTTTTGGGTTTCCAAGTGATGAAGTTGTGAACACTTGTTAAGTGCCATAAAAAGGAAGAAGTATTTGATGAAAAATTGCTGCAACATAGAATGAATTTGTGTTCTGTGGCTAGATCAAGAATGTGCTTGAAGAGACTATACTAAGTTGACTGATATATGTGAGTGGATTAACAAAGGAAGTGGATCGGTTAGGGAAGAACTGTCAGAGAATCATACCATGGCCTTGAGATGCAGGTTTTTATAGAATTTATCTACAAACCAAACATTTCAATTGGTCTCAAATCTTCCTCAGTTCTCCCTGATTTGTTCCTTTTTTGTATCCTGGTAGAACTAAACCCGATCAGGTCACAAGAAAGATTGAGCTGCGATGTTAGCCTAACACCATATCTGGATATTCAATCATGGGATGTTTAAACAAACCTTGGAACTTTAGCTCATATTTTGATAAGTTTTGTTTTCTTTCTTATTTGTTAACACTTTCCATTAGGTGTTTTGCAATACTTTTATTAAACAAAATATTTTTTGGCATTTTGAGTTTGCTGTTATTTTGTCATATTTATGAGCACCAAAGTCATCAAATTTCATCTTTCTGGTCTGATATGTAAACTCAGGTCATCTGAGACTTACTTCAATCAATTATTTTTTTTATCTTTGCAGTGTTTATATTTCACAAAATTCCTTTCCTGAGTGGAAAGCTTTTCAGCATAATTTAGTGTGGGGTTTAGACCTTGTCCAGAACCTCACATGTGTACCCTAGAGGAGGAGGTCTTAGTATCATACTGTGGCTGTATGCCATATTGTATGCTTTTGTTTTTTTTTTTGTTCTTATAATTTTCCCTGTTTTTTGTTCCTTCCAATTTATAGAACTTTCTAATCTTCTTAATTCTTTTTTCTTGGAAATGAGGGTCACTTCCTAGAATTTACCAACATATTGTATGTGAGGTTACCTGAGGGCATATGAAGCAAAAGAAGGTCACTTTTGGGCTGGTGCTTGAGGAGAGGAGACCACAAAAAGGTGAGAGACTTTACAGTGTCCGGTGCCTGAGAGACAGGTGAAACTAGAACTTTGAGTGGAAACTTCGAAATTTCTGGGTTGAAGTCAGTGTATTAGAGTCAGCATTTCAGCTTGATGAGTTGAAATGTGTGACCAGCTATTGGAATCAAATATACAAAAACCTTCAAGAACCAGGGAAAGGGAAGACAGAAGTGAGAATTTTGTGTTTAAGAAGCTTCTACATGGCCCCTCACAGTAACTGAATGTTTGCACTATCTGGGTATTCTTTCCTGTCCTATCCACCATCTTCTTTACTTCTTGCCTTCTACCTTCCATTTCCTTTCTAGGTATAAATTAGTATTAAGGATTAGTGTTAAGGAGAAATTTTTGTAAATAATATTTTCGGTTCCTTTTTTACAAATTACAATAATTTATGTAATTGTTCCACTGACTACTGGATTTGGGTGACTGTTAATCAATACCTCGTCCCTTTGTACTGTACTTATTGTGTGTAATAAATTCATTTTTCCATCTACTTCATGTGTGTATAATTAAGAAAGAGTTTTTTTTTTATTGACAAGAGCAACCATCCAGCTTTTTTGCTGGGTGGTTTCTCTTGTCAATAAAAAAAAACCCTTTCTTAATTATCACAATACACCCAGCATATGGTTATACACACAAGGTATTTGGACAATGTTCTCATAATTTGGCATCAGAAATGAACCTACAGAATTTTTTAATGTGATCAATAATAACCCCTAATGACAATCACCTTCAGGTTGAGCAAGAAAACCATCTTATAGTCCATTTCCTAGGCATTTTTTTTTTATTTTACAACATGGACAGATTTCCACAAAAGTATATAGGGAACCCAAATACTAACCGTGTTTTATACCTAGTGAGTCACTAGATCTATACCATTTCAAGATCACAGCCTTAGTAAGAACATTGTGCACTGCTCCAACATAATGGACAGAATTTAGGAGATTGAATATATTAAGCAAATCACAAATAAGTTAATGTGTTAGTTAAAAAAAATATGAGAACACTCTCCCAGAGACACAACAGGATGATGATTTGAGGTTCATGACGTGTGAAGTATAATCACATCTTAAAAAACTGCATAAGGAAATAGCTTCTGTAAATTAATTTAAGATTGGCTATAGAAGAAATCCCAGAGTATATAACACTATCATGAATGAAAAGGATCTTCCTGATAAGAAATGCATTCCAGGGATTTACTCTATCCCCATCAAGAACTGCAGGTTCAATGCTGAGTGGGCATACATTGGTTCAACAGCATGCTCTCTCACAATGAGAATTAAAGAACATGAAGCAAATATAAGAAAAAGACAGCTGATACAGTTGACTACTGCCTTAGTGGCATTTGAGATGAAAAACAGCATCAAGGTCAACTTAAGTGAAACCAAGACTGTAAAATCTGCTTGGGATACCACATGCTTAAAGCACTTAAAAAAAGACTGAAAATTTACAAGTAATCTCTTAAATCTAAGACAATTCATTTCAAAGAAACCATCTCAAATGCATGGAAACTTTCTATAAAATACTGTAAAATCTATGGGGAGCTTCATCAACATGCATATAGGGCCTTTTTCTGGTTTTCTTGTTTTTAATGTTTTAGCTTATGTGGGGTATACCCTCTATCATTGATCATTGATTATTGATAATGGACACTTGTAATTTTATATTATTTCTTTTGTAACAAAGATTTCATGATTAATTGTATTTTTTTCCATAATATTTACAGTAAATATACATTCCATTTTGTGTATGTTTGATTTTTTGATCTTTCTGATGATGACCATTTAATATGGTTGAAAACATTTGTTAAATCAATTAAATTTTGATTTTGCTGGAATTTAAAGATGTTTGTTGTGTCAGTTTTTATTTTTTCCACTATTTGACAGTTTATATACTGTATATATATTTACTACACTAATTTGTAAGAAAGACTAGAGCATAAACAGCAAAAATAGAAAATGTTTTAGTTTTGTGTTTGTATCATCATTAATTTGAGTATTCTGAATCCTCAAAAATATGAAATTTTTATCTTTAAATTTTTCTATTCTTTTAAACTTTATTAAAAATTATTGTTTTCCTTTATTAAATGAATATAAAAACTACAAATTCTAGAAAAAATTCTGTATGATAAACTATATCTCATACTTTAGTTGTTCCAAACTTTACTCTTGTCATTGCATTTATTTTCAGTTGTTCAATTATCATTTTTAAAGTTTCATAATCATTAATATTAAATTATTACTAGTGGTTTGTTCAGTAGTAGTAAATAATGAGCTAAAAAATGGTAAATTCAGTTTCAGTTCATCATTGATAAATGCTTATAATTATTTGATTTTAACAGAAAAATTATTTTCAGGTTCATCACTTATTTGTCCAATTAATGTTTTCTGTAACATTTTCTTTATCTTGTACAATGTTTGAACTCATCATCTTTGAAATTCTTGGAATCCTTGATTCTAGGTTTGTTTGATTATAAGAATATTATTAAAGTAATTATAGTATTTATATCATTGTTAATGTTTATTGAGGAACATATTTTATTCTTTTAGATCAAGATTTATTCATTGGAAACTTGGACTCTATGCTATACTCTTCATGCTTATTGTGCTATTACCATTTTATATCGGTTATTTCATTTTAAGCAATGTGAGATTTGGTAAATACATATTTTGTTATGAATAAATTTAAAATAAATGCTCCTTAATAATTTGCATTTTTTTAATATTTTCAATATAGTTCAAAAACAGTTTATCAAACCTCTTACAGTGGCAGCATGGCTTGGATTTATGTATTTATTTTGGAAAATTGGTGATCCTTTTCCAATTCTTAGTCCAAAACATGGTGAATGATAAAAGTATTGGATATATTTTATAAAATGGTATTTAAAATTTGAGAACCAATGAAATATTTTTAAAAATTTAGGAATTCTATCTATTGAACAAGGGATAAGCAGAGTTGGTGTAATTGGAGTGACACTAATGGCTTTACTGTCTGGATTTGGTGCTGTAAATTATCCTTATACATCCATGGCATATTTTATGAGGTATAATATTTAAAGTGTGATTATTTAAAAAAATTTTTATTATGACTTTTAAGACTAAAATATTGAAAATTGTTTATTATGTCTATTTAATTAAATTTTTGTAATAATTATCATCCAGATATTCAAGGAAAATATATTAAACACTTCAATCAAAAGCCTTAAATTATATTCCAGTAAGATTTAATTTGAAAAAAGGTTTTTTTGACTAATATTTTTGATATGCAATTGGAGATCATCTTTGGGTCTGTATATTCAATGAAGGAATGATTAAATAGAACAATGATGTTTTTTGAAAAATTAAATTAAAGAAATTCTTGAAATATATAAAATATCATAGGATTAAAAGTAACAGTAAATATAAAAGTTAAAAGTGGTACAAAAAATATACAATTAAAATAAATAAACATTCAAAGACTATAACTGAGAACTTTTCATTATACTGTCCCTATGTCATGTTGTCATGTCATATTTGGTCATGTGATCATATAAGGATTGCCATGCTTATGATAGTTGTTTTACTTAGTAAATTTTCAAAATATTAAAAAAAGCAAGAAAAAATATATTGTCAATTTGTGAAAAATTTACAAAAATGCTTAAAAATAATTTTATATAAATACTATAAATCTGATTTTATGTACAAATTTATAGTTTCAGTTTGCATGAAAAAACCTATCATATGCATGACAATTTTTATATGATCACATGATCAAATGTGACTTAACAACATGATTTAGGGACAGTATAACTGAAAGTTCTCAATTATAGTTATATAGTCTTTAAATGTTTATTTTTTAATTGTATATTTTTTGTACTACTATTAACTTTTATATTTACTGTTACTTTTAATTCTGTTTCATATATTTTGAGAATTTCTTTCATTTAATTTTCCAAAACATCATTGTTTGATTTAATCATTCTGTCATCGAATGTACAGATCTGAAGAAGATCTCCGATTGCAGATTGAAAATGTTAGTCGAAAAAACCTTTTTTCAAATTAAATCTTACTGGAATATAATTTAAGGCTTTTGATTGAAGTGTTTATTACATCATTCCAGTCTACTAAGTGGTGTTTTAACTCTTTTAAAAAAAAATTAATTAATAGTTAAATCTACTCAAAAAATTTATTGAACAATCAATTTATTTGCTTTATTTGAAAATAAATTGCTTTACTGATTAATAGGGTATTTGTTAAATATATTTATAATATCAATACCCCCACTTTGTAAATTTATGGTTAGTTTATGTTGTAAATATATAGTGAAAGTATTTTTCCATTAATATAATAAACATTTTAAAATCAATCATTAAGATGAATCATAAAACTTAAATGTCTTTACCTGAAAAAATAATGTAACATAGTTCTCAAACATTTATTGCTCTTCACATTGCTTTATAAAATTAATATTTTTTTGACTGCTGGAAAGTATAACTTTGTACATAAAATTAGTTTTATAGTATTTATATGAAATTATTTTTAAGCATTTTTGTAAATTTTTTCACAAATTGATCATTTATTCATAACATATATATATATATATATTTTTCTTTCTTTTGGTTTTTTTTTAATGTTTTGAAAATTTATTTTTTAAATGTAAAGACAGTTAACTCTGCTTATTGTAAGGGACTTGCTTATTGTACTTTGGAACTTGCCTAAACTGGTAACATTAAGCAGAGTAAGTAAATAATGTTACAATTAGAGGACATTCTAATTTTATTGACTTTAACATTAAAAGGATATTAAAACTATTAAAAAGTGTATAACTTGAAGTTTTATTCATTATAATTATTATTGTTTATTAATATGTAATTTATTCAATATTGTTTGTCTACTACAACAGCTAGCATAGTGCTAGTGATTTGGACTATTGTATTGTGAGCAAATAACCCTTACAATGATTAACATTTAAAGCACTGCTTAAGACTGATTACAATAACTGATAATGATTATGTTTTCAGTTACATAGTGAATCTTATAGCATGAAAATAAAGTTAATTTTGAAAAAATTAACATTTTGACTGCATGAGAAGTATAACATGGTGCACAGAGAATCTACCAGAATAGCCATGACTATCAATGGTTGATTCTCAAACATTATTAGTTTTAATAGCCAGAGGAAGCAGCTTTTGCTTTTTAGATCAATGTAACTTTTAAGCAGCTCAAGTTCTCTTGTTTACAACTCAGCTGTAAACAATAGAAACTGCTATTGGCCTGCACCTTATTGAATCAATGGTTGATTTTCAGAGGCTGAAATGTTCGTAGTTGACATCCAATGAATAGCAATGAAACATCAGATAAAATATTTATATTTATTCAAAAATTTTAACATTTTTGTAAATTTTTATTGAACAGGAAAATAACGGATTTTCTGTAGTTATAACTGAAAATATCAAAAGATGGTCAAAAAAGATTCAATGAGGTATGAAGTAAATGGTTATTCTGTACGTGTTTGAATTTTAAAACAGCAACTAAAACAATAATTCATATAACATTTTACACAGTGGTATCTTGATTGAGGAGTTTTAGATTGTTCATGTTTTGAAACTTCAGCTATGTGAGCCAAGTGAATCATATGGTGCTTCTCAGCTCAAAACAGTGGAAAAAATTTTGCTTTTTGAGAAAAATATATTCATTGACTCTTAACAACCTCATTGCTATCTTATTCAAGGATAAAACAGTTCTGGCCAAAAACACCAAACTTTTTTATGTTTACTATGGAAGTTAACTGACTAATAACATGATAATGATTGCTTATTGTGATCACCCTTGTGATTGCAAAAAGCAGAATTAGTTGTATTTTATGAAGTATTTTGAGTTTGAATTAGTTGATGAAAAAATTATTGAATTTTAATTGTTTTGGGTAAAATAAAGAATTAGTGAGATTTACAAAAATAACAGAATTTTGAAAAATAATGAATGACCTATAAGAGGAAAATAATCATTAAATTATTTAAAATATCTACTTATATTTTGATTTAGTATATTTTTTGCCTTTCTGCAGTTATATGAATGGTTTATATTTTCTGTAATATTGAGTATTTAGATATTGTCCCATTCTATTTGTATTTTGCAGATATTTTGACTTGTTCGCTACAGATTATTTTTTAAAGAAAGAGAAAAATGTAAGAGTGCAAACCTCTTGATGCTAAGCAACAATTAAACTAATATCAATACATCATCATTATTACTCCATTTCATAAATTGTCTTAAATATATGACATTAGTTCTTAGTTATCAAGTATTTTGGAGTTTGAGTAAAATGTTTGTATTCAGAAAGTAAGTTCTGATTGATCAAAAAAACTTTTTATATGAAGGCAATAAAACTGTTTTATCTTCTAATTGAAAATATCAACTGCCAGTTTGTTAAACTAACCAACAGCTGTTCTGATTATGCATATAGTCTGTAAAATTGGCATGAGTTGAGTTTTGTTGGTAGATTGTTATCCCAAAAGGAAAGATATAAAAGAAAAACTGCAAATATGTCCAACATTTATATGTTGGACATATTTGCAGTTTTGCAGTTATCAGACATTCATAATTTTGCCAAGAAATGAGCAAGAAGATTACAACTTTCATCTGCTGTGATATAGTGTTATGATGTTTTTATATTTTATGGCTGTTTATATAATGGAGGGAAAGTATGGTGATTGGTCAGAAAGTGAATCCCCAAAGATTTTTTATATTTTGAATTTGGGACCTTGCAATGTTGAAAAATGAAAAAGAATTTGGGGATATTTTTTGTATGTATGGATATTGATTGTGTGTGTGTGTGTGTAGAGCACAGTTTTGTTCATCCACTTTGAAGTTTAATAACTCTTATAACTTTTGTCAAAAATTTTGAAATTTTGCAGGGAATTTGTGTATTTGAGGATTGATGCTATTAAATTTTGGTGGATGAAGGTCAAAGGGTGAGAAGATAGATGGGATCATGTGTCAGACTTAATGACAATTTTACTCATTATTAGCATTTACAATTTTTTTTAAATACACCCTCATTAAGCTTTTGTCCATTTTATAATAGTTAAAAATATAAACATTTTTAAAAATAAAATATCATAATGGATGGCACCACCATAATTTAAAATTTTTTTCTGAGAAAGTTATCCAACTCATTGCTGGATTGTTTCTAAATGAATTTTTGAATCATGAGCAACAATATACATAGATAAGTAGACAACGAAATTATTGTGGCCAATGCACGTACTATATCAGAAATATCCAGCACAAATTATATTTACTAAAAATAATTTTTCATTATTTTAGTAAGTATAATTTGTGCTTGATATTTCTGATATAGTTATATGCTTTGGACTTAATTAAATTCAGTTTTACATAGCACGTAGTTAAATTATTGTGGGTTATTGAAAACAAACAATGAGTAACTAGAGTTCTGATTTTATGTTGCTTTATGGCAATGCTGGACCTCACAGTGCTGCTTGAATAAATCAATTGCTGAATCTTCCTGGTAAAAAGTTCATCATCATCACAATATAGTTTTGAACTGATCAGGCAGATAAGGCTTCATTTTGGAAGATCTGGGATAGAATCTGAGTGAGCAACTCTAGGAATTTTTCATGGATCTGTCCTGGATGGGTCAGGTCTCATCCCTCAGCTGCTCCCATTGTGGCTTGACTGAACCCACAATGAGCATGGGGAAGAAGGTCCTATTAGTGTCTACAGGAAAGAGTCAAAATGAAAAGAAAAGGTTGATCTTATATGTATATGTATTCTGACTTCACTTATTTCTGTATTTGAACACAATTTTAGCAGGACAGTGATTCAACAACATTTTGAGAAGACAGCAGTTGTGCAAGATTGGATAAGAATCTGACAGCAAATTTCATTAACAAATTGATAAAAAAAAAGCTTATACTATAATATGAAAAATAACTTAATTTGAAAAGTAATTATGTTGAAAAATAGATAGATGTGTAAACTTTTGGCAATAAAGAAAAGTCTAAAATGTTTTATTTATGGTTAGTCAGAACTTTTGTGATAAGTTCCTAATGACACTCATAGCGGTAACTATTAGAAACTTATAGATATGTTTTGAATATTTATATGCTTTTTATAATATAAGAAAGTAATTCTCTTAATATTTTGTTTATTTGCTAACTATATACTTTTCCAACAATAATACTGTAGATTACCTAAGATTTAATATCGGAGTCTTCCTGAAAGTAAAGTTAACTTTTAGTAAGAGTTATTAGAGTGTATATATGTATGTATATATATATTTATGTTCTGTATATCAAAGTTGAGACAATGTTTATATTTTTTTACTACTATTGTTTGATTGTTTATTGATAGAAAGTGAGTGGTGATATGTATTAAAATCATATCATTGATCGTATAAACTGAATATTTTTGGTTAAAAAGAAAATGCAGTCATTCTATTTTTCTAAACATAAAATTATATTTTGAGAAAGACATCATAAGTAAATAGAAAATACTTAAACATGATTTGTATTATTTGTGCAATTACACTTAATAATAATAATAACAACAACAACATATTTATTATTAACATTAATGATATTAATTACTAATAATTTATAAAAATCTATAATTCATTAATCTATAAAATATTATAGATAAAATATTACTAATACTAAGTTATATATATGTATATAAACAGACCTGTGACTTCTACAGATATTCAAGCATTAGAGAAAAAGTTGATTTTAACATTAGATATGATCATTATGAAGAAGAAAAGGTATTGTCTGTTAGTTTTTCAAAAAATAAAAGTAAAAATATAGTTTAATTAAAAGAATATTTTTTTGTTTTGTTCTTAGATTAGCATTGGCTGCACGGGAGAAATTGCAGCAGAATATGGTTACTCGTCATACATCAGGAATATGGGGAATGTTGAAAAGTGTAGCATCAAGTGGAAGTGGTGAAAGTATATAAAAAAATTCTTAATGTAGAAAAGTGTGTTTATTTCAAAATATTAATTTAAAATATTAATTTTTAGATATAAATCAATTACAAGAAGAAATCAGGGGATTGGAAGAGCTCAGTAGACAGTTGTTTTTGGAATCTGTCGACATGCACACTATGCAGGTTTGGTATATTTCATATCATAAATATTATTATTTACCACTTATTAATCAAAAATAGTATTGCTTTAGCTTTATATTGTTTATTTTTTCTAAAAGTAAATATAGTTGACAGCCAGATGGCTGAGCGGGTAAAGTGGCAGCCTACCACTCTGGGGGACCCAGATTGAAAACTTCACAGAAATTTTTTGCGGGGTGTTCCATTCAGATATGTCGGGTCCCATCCCTCACCACCCAAAGCTTTCATTTTATTTTATTATTTTTATATTATTCCTTCTATATACACATATCCATATACTTATCCCCTCTATTATCCATATTATACATATTCCATCTTCAAAGTTAAAATTATAATTTAGAGATGTGAAAAATTTTGTTTGAAATGAACAACATAATTGTTCATTTGTTTTGTGAATTTTTTAGAGAAAACTTTGATGGCAATATATATTTAAAAATAAGAAATTATATTATAATATCAATATATCTAAAACCATGTCACTTTTATATTATAATATCAATATATCTAAAACCATGTCACTTTTATAACTAGAAAGTAAAGAACAGGATTAATAATAATTTTAAAGTCTTTAATGTTAGTTTATCACTGATATTATTATTTCATCTACAGTTTTGACTCTTTTTTGATGTATTAAATGTTTTTCATTATTTATAGTAGTATACTTTGAAACTCAGTACTATTTCAGCAATTATTTGAAGGTAATTAAAACAGATGTTTGAATAAAATTTCAAACAGATTCTTCATTCAAACCTATTTCTTCATTCATTGGCCAAAAGTAATCTTTAACTTTACTTCCTTCCTTTATTTGAATTTCCATAAGACTAGTTTTTGTTTTATATTCTTATTCTATTCTTTGGTTCCCCTTCTCATCTTTTTCTTAGCATTAAATGAATATGTCATAGGTTCTAGATTTGGTTCTATTCCTGACACCAGCAATAATATCCAAAGCATTTTAATATTATTTATTATTATTTATAAAGCATAATATTTACTTATTATTTACATTAACACAGTTATACACTAATTTCTCTTTCAACAAATTAACATTCAAAGTATAAGTATATATACAGCAAAACATGCCAACACACTACCAGTTATGCAACACCATACACTTGCTTCAGTATAAAATCTATTACAGAACGCGGTAGATACAGTAGACCCCCCTATAACGCGGTAGATACATTCCACTTTATAAGAATTTCGTGTTGTAGGAATCCTTAAATACATGAGCCAATCACAACCCAACACGTGTGAAGTTTACGGACTATGGCTGTTTGAAAGGTTTTCTTCCATAAAATTAATCGATTCTAGACTAATTCGACTCAATATTTCCAAAATACATATAATTTTTTGGGAATAATCCGTATAAACTATGCTATAAACAAAAAACTGTAGGATTACTTACCAAGTGTGCACCGTTTAACGTCGCCATTGCTTAAGTTTGTTTTCGTCGCGGAGCAGCGCACCAAACGGCAGTCACGATTTCTGATAAGTTATTTTTCTGCGAAAAATTTGTTGAACTTTGGAGACATCATTAATAGAAATAATTTTTATGGCCATTGAATAAGAAATGTTTCTTTCACAAGAAATGTATAAAATTACAGTACTGTATTAGACTTACAGTACCTAATTTACATACTGTACAGATGATAGTAAACTCAACTTACTCACCTAAACTCTCCTTAGCGTGGCGTTGGACGGCGGAAAGTATATATATAATTATAATAAAGTTAAAATAAATTAAGTTAATATTGTACAGATGATAATAATACTGTACAGACGATAGTAAATTCAACTTACCCGTCTAAACTCTCCGTAGCGTGTAAGTAGTTTGGGTGGTTGTCTACTATTGGTCCAGATTTGACAAATCATATTGCGACACGAGTCGGCGATGACGTTTTACCACATTTTACATGTCCCTTTTAGCATCTTTATACGAATACTGTCGCAATTTCTTTGCCGCGTTATAGGAATCCGTATTATAGGAACCCGCGTTATAGGGGGGTCTACTGTGTGATAAAATTGAAGTTTTAATTTTGTTACAGATAGATGTATATAATCTAAAGTAGTATAGTATTACATACTTATTTTTTTATGTAAACAAATTTAAAGTATAAAATTATCATAATAAAATGCATTTTTACTTTTAAATGTTTTAATTGTTGTCACTGTAAAGTTGATTATAAAATATTGAAATATTTTATTTATTTTTCAGGAAAGAATAGAATGGTCAAAAACATTGAAAGGAAAATATTTTAATTTTGTAGGATATTTTTTCTCTTTATATTGTGTCTGGAAAATATTTATTGTGAGTTTTATTATTTTAAATTTTATGTGCATACATTTTAAAACTCAAGACATTTTATATTTTATTGACATATATCTTATATATATATAAAATATATGTCAATAAAATATAAAATGTCTTCAGTTATATATATATATATATATAAACAAAATTCATAAAACTAATTGAATGTTTTATTGAACAGTCAACTGTTAACATTGTCTTTGATCGTGTTGGAAGAGTAGATCCTGTGACAAGAGGTATTGAAATTGCAGTAAATTACATGGGAATTAACTTTGATGTAAGTTTTATATAATATTTAATTGAGACAATTGTGAGTACAATTATAGATATGTAAGAATCAGAATGTTAAAATATGAGGTAGAATCAAAAACAACTAAAATTTGACACAGATTTTATTACACAATTCAGAGATATATCATACCACCTTCCAAATAAATGCCATCTATAGCTACATATTTCTACTGGTATCTATATCACTTGTCAAAAAATAATCTTAGAAGCCAAATGATGTCTTTAAGGGCTTTATTACTGCCACTTCTGTTTCTACTGCTGATTGGAATCTGTGACTCTTCAACTTCTTTTTTATTTTAGGAAACAGATAGTTCAGGGAAGTAAGAGGATTAGGGAAATATTGTTATGCTCTTCTTGGTCAAGGAATGATTAATGTGTAGGGGCATAGTTAATTAGGGTGAAAGACCCATTTTTGTCTCTTCCATAAATTAGGATGTTTTCATTGTGTACAGCTTTATGCAAATGGCTGAGAATTTCAATGTATCTTTCCTTATTAAGACTCTGACTTACAGGAATGAATTCATGATATATCAAACTATGGATGCCAAAAAACTCACTGTAATACCTTACAGCTATTAATGAAGACAGGAAATAAAATTGATAACTGTGCACAAGTGTAAACTTGACTTACATTGACATCTGTAATATCTCACAATGTGTGCAATATAAAAATCAAAAACTGCAGTTCTTTTTTTGACTCTTCATCATATATACCATAGAATGTATATATGAAAAAAATTTTTGAAGTGGGTTGCATAACTTATCTTGAATTACTTTGGTTCTATAAAAGAGATTATGAAAAGGAGCAAAATGGTTTTTAACTAAAAATAATGTCATCACTCAATCACAATGATAAATTTGGTGCTGTTGTCAAGTCTTGTATTCTTATATATCAGAAAATGTATCAAAGCATTTTTTTCACTTTCCAGAAATATTTTCTATTTTAAAAACATGTAAATAATGAAAGTAATTTAAAATATTTTTATGCAATATCTAAAAAGGACAATAAAGTTAGTTTATGATGCTCTTTTAGCAGGCTATCTACTTAATTATAAGAAAAGTCAGCTATGTAAGATATTAAAATAATTTTTATATTTAATTCCTTCATTAGGTATGAGTGCAAAGCAGTTATTAATTATTAATAAATGTATTTTTATATTGAAATTATATGATTCAGTAAGTATGAATTTAGGTATTTTTTCATTCAAATTATCTTTAACCTGTGATCCAGTAATGGTAAATCAATCTGGAATATGAGTTTATTAAGAGATGTAACTCTACGTTAGTCTATACATCAAAAGTCATAGCAGTTATCATGCTAAAAAAATACAATTTAATTAATATTTTAACTATTATTTGAACTAATTAAAAATGCACTACTGTGATGATGATAAAAATACTGTGATAAGTTAAAAATAAATATTAAATATAAAAATATGTCATATTAAAGATTTTATTGATATTTGATATTAATATATATCAACATGATTTATATTAAGCCTGTTTTTATTTTTAACATTGTTATTATAGTATGTTTGTATCAGCTGGATTTTCATCACAGATATTTTAATTAAAATTGTAAATGGAAAAATTATTATGAAGATTGTTGTAAATTGATGCCAATATTATCATGCATGAATCTTTTATTGTTGTTTGAAAAAAATTGAAGATTTACGTTTTAGCATAAACATAATAAATACATAAGATGAAGTTATATCTAATATAGTAAAATATAAAGTATATATATTTTATATGTTTTATGGATTAATAAAGAAACTGATAAATAATTTTGTTTTAAACTTTAATCAGTATGCTTAATTAATAAATACTTAACTTGTAAAGTTATATACTATTTTGGATTATAGGTAAAATTTTGGTCTCAGCACATTTCATTCATATTAGTTGGAGTTATTGTAGTTACTTCTATTCGTGGCCTTCTCATAACTTTAACTAAGGTAAATATTTTTTTAAATAATCTATTCTATTCTAGCTATTATAAGATATATGTGTGTGTATGTATTTACATATGTACAGTATATTTAATGAAATACATTTGTTTATATATTTTGATTTTAGAAATAAAATTAAAATATTAATTTTGTTTACATTTTTACATAGTTCTTCTATGCAATATCAAGTAGCAAATCCTCAAATGTTATTGTTCTTGCTTTAGCTCAAATAATGGTAAGCTGAATTTAAAATATTTTTCTTATAATTTTATAATTTAATTAACAGACGTTTTTTACACAACATTTTCCTAATTAAATAAATTGTCTTATTTTATTTTTTTAATGAAACATTATTATAAAACTTTATTGAAGAGAACTAAATATTTCTGAAGAAAAATTGTATCATTATAAAGTTTTATTACATATATTTTTCTTTTATTGCAATCAAATCAGAATAATAAATAGAATCAAAGTATTAAATTTATTATTATTGTTAATTTGTATACATATCACTTGAATCTAGCAGTAATAAAACATAGATATTACATATCATTTCTTGTTGATCTGAATTGATAAATAGTTTATAATGTTTTCAATGCAGTTTCTTCTTCTGTAATGTGTTTTTAGTATATGAATTTGTTATATGTGATAGATAACTAAGGGAATAAAATCACTAAAACATAAAATCCTGTTTTTGTTTACACCAAATTTTTCTTGAGATGAACATGTCTTGTGCTACCAAGTAACCTCATGTGAATGGGAAAAATGCCATTCAACCGAATATAATGCTCTATGGAGGAATACACAAAACAAACATGACTCATCTGTCTCTTATTCCAATTTACTAAGTTTTTTTATGAATTTGTTTGCTTTTCTTAATAAAAGCATTTAATATAATATTTTGATTTTAAGAATCCAAGAGTCCAAAGAAGGAAATCTTTAAGTATTAAGGAGAAACATGAAATAAAACATTTTGAATGACAGGACAGAACATACATTATTATGAAGATTGTTGCAAATTGATGCCAATATTATCTTGCATGAATCTTTTATTGTTTGAAAAAATTGAAGATTTGAGTTTTAGCATAAACATAATAAATACATAAGATAAAGTTATATCTAGCGTAGTAAAATATAAAGTATATATATTTTATATGTTTTTTGGATTAATAAAACTTCTCCCATAAATCCTGTTATTTTTATTGTGTGGAATTTTTTAACACTTAGGAACACGATGTATTATGGGGAAATGACTATAATAATATAAATAAAGCATTTTTAAGATGATCTTAAAAAATAACCATATTGATCATTTTTTTTGGGCTGTAATTGGACTTAAAGGACTGCAAAAAATGATTAAACTTTAAGAACAAGTGAAGAAAAGTTTGTCTTTTTTCTGTCCATATGTCATGAGAATGAATAAAACTTTATTGTCATAAGATATAATTTTTTATAGACGATCATTCTTAGTATGTTAAATGTCTTCAGAACATCCCTGTTTATGAATCATAAAAATTTTATTTTACTAGCTATTATTTGTACATAACAAGGAAAAGTATTAGATTCATGTCAAATATGACCTTTCAGGATTTTTGAAAATCTCCACATTTTGAGACGTGAACCCAAAGAAGTCAAAAAACCAGGGAAAATATTTCATAGATAGGTGTGTTGGCATCTGTTTTATTTCATATCTCATGATAGATTAAGAAATGAAATTTGGCATGGTAGATTGTGTGTAAGGGATTTTGATGCTATTAAATTTTCGTGGTTAAAGGTCAAGGGGGTGGAGAGATATGAGAGATTACATATCATATCTCAAATGGGATCACTTATTGATGATTTTACTTTTTATTAGCATTTACAAAGTTATATAAAACTAATACAGGTAACTCCCGTATAACACGGGAGTTACCTGTATTTGCTTTATATAACTTTGTAAATGCCTATATAACTTATATAACACGGATTCGCATAACACAGCAATTTTCTGGAACGTAACTCCCGTATAACACGGTAGTTACGTTCCAGAAAATTGCTGTGCTATGCGAATCCGTGTTATATGAAACAAAGAACTAGTACAAAAAGGGGGGTTAGGTACCAAAAATTAAAAAACATGTTAAATCCTTATTTAAATCGGATTTAGTATTCATTTTTTTCATAGGTAAAATACTTATTTATTATTTAAGTAAATATTTTATCAGAGGATTATTCATTTTATGTGATGATCTCAGCATGAGCATCATCAACTGGTAACAGTTTGTGGGTGTGTTCGTTAATAGTGGTTGCTCTGCAATGGGAGTGCGCTGCTGTTTGTAGGCATTTAGGAATGACGGTGAAAGAAAGATGGCGGCGCCCACACTATCGATAGTATCGTGTGGAGGAATCTATAATTCTAAAATGAGCTTTTAGAGGCAAAAGAAGGGTCCCAATTGTAAAATTTAACAATTAAATGGATTATTTGTTGAAAGAGCATTCAAAGTAGCCACGAAAACAATTAGAATGCTCGTGCGGAGTTTCACAGAGGTATAAAAGAGCGCACCCTTTATTACATTTTATGTTATATGAGAGTTTTACCCAATTCCCGAACCGTGTTAGAGTGAACCCATGTTATAAAAGCACCGTGTTATATGGGGGATGTTCCCAATTCTTGAACCGTGTTAGAGTGAATCCATGCTATAGAAGTGCCGTGTTATACGGGGGTTACCTATATCTCTATATCCAAAATTAAGCTTATTACCATTTTATAATTATTAATAATATAAAAGTTATTTTTTAAAGTATCTCATAATAGATAGTGCCATATTCAATTTTGTACTAGTATGCTACTAGTAGTAATTTTTAATATTTTTTGTCAGAAAAGTTATGCAACTCGTTGCTTTTTGAAAATTACATAAAATTTAGGATAGCTTTTTTAATTATATAAAAGATGAATTTCAATAAAATAATTTTAGTGGATAATATTACTGTTGAAACTGAATTGAAGATCACAATTTTTTTAAAGATTGGTAAATATTTTATGTATATCATTGAGAGGTGCCCCCACACATTTTTGGAAGCATGAGGGCAAACAGCATACAACTATTTTTTTAAAATGTTTTTAATAATGAAAATACTAATATTTTGTGTAATGCTTATATTACAGGGAATGTATTTTGTTTCATCAGTACTGTTAATACGGATGAACATGCCACCTGAATACAGGTAAGTGTTTGCATGTCACTTTACAAAATATAAAGTTTTTTAAATAAAAAAATGCTTTTTACTTTCTTAATAGGTCAATTATTACTGAAGTGTTAGGGGAACTACAATTCAATTTCTACCATCGCTGGTTTGATGTTATATTTTTGGTTAGTGCATTATCCAGTATTGGTTTCCTCTACCTTGCACATAAACAATTACCAGAGAGAGAGAGTCTATAATGTGACTATATTGTATTATTAAATGTTATTAAAAAATTCTTTTTCTTAAATTTTATTAATTCACCAAAACTTTAGTTGAATAAAATTTAATGTTTTTAATAAAAATATTTAAATATATTTTAAAAGTACAAGTTTACAGAAAATGTCAGAAATACTATATTAAAATGGAATTTAATGTAATAATAGCAATTGAAAGTACTGCTAATGAATTCAGGAGGAAAGCATAAAATGAAATTTATTCAATAATTTTTATTTTTTGACTAAAACAATTGATTTATACATAGTGCAATCATAAACTGTTTTTATTTCATCATTTACAACACTGTTTCTCATTCTCTAACGAATCATTGCCCCCTTCAATAAAATCGTTATGTAGTATCGCCCCTTTCACTACAAAATTCTGATGCCGAGGGACAAGGCTAACGCCAAATTCATACTGCATTGAATAGACTAGTGACTAGTATAATGTTATTTGTTTAATTATTGTATGATATAACAAATAAAATATCTAATTATTCTTAATATAATGTCTTACTATATCGCCCAGAAAATTGTTTTTCTCTCCCCAAAATATAAATTGTTACTAATTGCCTTCTCAACATGGAAAAATGCCCACATGGGGGCAATATTGCCCTGTTGAGAAACTCTGATTTACAATAACATTTCTAGACACTTTTCACCTCAATACATATTTTTTGAACTTGCCTCAACTATATGATGTGAAAGACTGTAAAATTTGAATTATAACAGAGCAAAATAAAAATTATATTTTACACATACACACAAAAAGAAAAAAAAAACAAAGTTACACAAATAATATTTCATCGAAAATTAATTTTATGAATTTTTAACTTATATCTAAAAGCATATCAAAAGATATTTCTTTCTTTATTTTAAACAGTCATTTGCTGATAAGTAGAGTGTGAGATATTTTACCAGGTATGAAAATATTAACACAAAAAAAGCAGTTAAAAGCTCTAACTTTACTTTCTAAATGAAATATTATTTAAATTTGATTTAATTTACTAATTGAAAAGCACACTTTGTTTCATTTTTTACTTCTATGGGAACTAAGAGTGCTTTTTTTCCATACCCATTGTAAGTTCAGTCAGGCTCACAATGGGATGGTCGGGTCACCACCTGGCCACTTCCATTGTAAACTTAGCCAAACTTGCAATAGGTATGTTAGTGGCAGTGAGAGACAAGGCCTGAGACATCTCAGACGAAACCATTCATGGAAATTTTCAAGGGTTTAACTGGCTGAATTCTATTCCAGCTCTCCCAGAGGTGTAGTCTGACACCTAGACCAATATATGAGCTTAAATATTTAAGCTTATATATTATATGAAATAATTTTTAATTGTATGAAAAGTTGTCACAAAATATATTTTTAAATATAAATTTTATATAACTTTCAATATCAAATTCTATTTTATGGATCCGCATCTTTTCAGTTTTGTTTTGGATTTGAAATGTCTTAAATACAGGTATACCTCACTTTACATTGGTAATTGGTTCCAGGAGAGGCGACTTAAGCTGAAAAACGACGTAAGTCAAATTTACTTGTCACTAGGCACAAATAACCATTCCCAGTTCTGTATTTTATTTATAAATGCATTTTTAATAATATATGGTTAATAAGAATCTATTTTAAGCTTACAAACAAATAAATTTTAGTTTTTAATATAGTACAGAAAAAAGTAATCTAAATTTATAAATTCATGTACGTACAGTACATACTTGTAAATGTACATGTTTACAATTTGGTGATGTTTACAGTACATCGCAGACTCTTTATTTGTGAATGTGGTTTGCTCTAAAAGATGATTTTGTAAGGTTAAATAACAAATAGTTATCAAAATTATCTTGTGAAAGTAGAAAATAAACTTATTTATATTAAATTTACCAATATTGAGTGGCACTGACAACGCTGCCAAATGGTAGATATTGGAGCTACCGTGGAAAATATCAATATTGAGCACTTAAAAGACTGCTAAATACGACAACAACACAGAAACACAGATGTTTTCATGTTTCGTTCTCTAGGATTTATGATGATTATATTAACATTTACTGTAAATGTACATATTTTAATATGATTTTATGTGCTTTAACGCTTTTCTAGTGATATTATGACTTCAGTATTTGTGGCGGACAGACGTAAAGTCGAATAAAATGACTTAAACTTGATTTTTATTTTTCCATATATTTTTTGATAAACGATGTATAATCGAGAATGACATAACTCGAAACGACGTAACTTGAGGTATACCTGTATAAACTTCATTTTAAATCCATCTGATGAAGTTACAGCAGACTCTGCTTATTATAATTGCAAATAACGCTAGCAGTTGTGTAATCAGAATTAGCATGTCCCAAAACATATAATACATAAGATAATACAATATCCAAAATTTGATGTTAGAATCATTTTCCAGTTGAGAAACTAAATAGTGACATAAAACAATGTGTGTATATAAAGAACAATTCCACCAAACTTATTTTTGATTAAAGCCAATCTGCTGAATTATTGGGCTATAATAAAGCTGAGTTAATAATTAACTTAGCCTTATTATAGCTGATAATTCAGCAGTTCATCTGGTTTTAAACAATATAACAATATATGGTTTTTTTTGTTTAATGTATTTCAGACTATCAATTTTTAAGATCAAAATACTTTTAAGACTTTCTTGGAACTTCTTTACACAATTTATTGATTTTTTTGAGTTTCAAGTATTAAAAGAGTAATAAATAAAGTAGTAATTAGATCACAATATGCCATGATTTATAGATAGAAATTTAATTATTTGGATGTTAATAAATGTGTATACTTCAATGTTAATAGCATTAACATTGAAGTATACAGTGACAAAATGATTATCATCAGCATTGTTTACATATATATCCTAGGAATACAACGAGATGAAGGAATTGTATTCAAATTAATATATGTATTAAAGATAACAATTTAGTAAATTTATATTGGATATAAATATTCCTTAATTGTATCTTTAACAAAATTTATTTTTACTTTCCCTACTGTTATATATAACAGAGGGAAAGTGGCAGTCGGTCAAAAAATGACCCCTCAGAATTACATTTTTGGGCTCAGAGAACCTTCAAACGTGGAGAAATGCAAAAAAAACTTGGGGGTTTTCTGTATGTATGGATATTATTGGATATGTATGGATATTTGTGTGTCAATGCTTTATTCAACAAATTTTTCAAGACCTACATGTCTCATTCATGTCAATGACGCACAAATTAATATTCTATAAATAATTAATAGAAAGATCAACTTAATTAAGCAACAGTCTGGACAGTAAATTACATGAAGGCCATTTTTTAAGTCTACTCAATAGGAGAATATTGAAAAGTTTATTTTCAGCCATAGTTTTTATAAAATGTTTGACAAAAATCAAGAGATTGCCTCTCATTAATTTCCATTATTTTGATTTACCTTATTATTATTTTTGGTAGTAATTTCAATAATATAGATAATGTATGAATATTATTACTTTAATTTTTATATGAATATAAATTGATTTTTGCTAGAATAAACGTTATAAATTGGGAATTTATTTTTGTATTAAAAGTATACAATTAAGTTATATTGTAAGAATTACAACTTAAATGTAAAACTTCTGAGGAATTCTTGAATTAAACAATTTTTTTTTCTTTTTGTTAAATTTACAATTAACTACAATTGAACTTAATACAGCTTTCAATTTCTTAGCTTAAAAGGCTAAAATCTGTGAAACGGTCCTTTCTTATTTCATATTTTATTTTAAAATGAAATATATTTATATTAAATAATTCTTTATTATATTTCGAGTAGGAATAAAAGTAATCAATAAGTGGCTTTGTTACTTACAAGCTATCATTTACATTTTGTACTTTGAAAAATAATTTGTAACAAAGTAATTAGTAGAATAATGAATGGTAAATTTCGATTGTTTCAAATAATTGTACCAATATACACTGAAAAATGTTTTATTGATTAAAATTTAAATTTAAAAATTTATTTTCTGTATTTACTTTTTTCAAGTGACGTTTCTTTAATTCCCTGAATTTTGAAAAAATCCACCAACATTTCTCAGAATCTTCAAAATTTCTTAGTTCATAATTTGAAGATCCCCGTCTTTCTCCATTATTATTCGAATAATATCAGTGAAGTTTTAAATGCTCAGGCGAATGTGGACGTTTTAAATGGATGTTTTCAGCCTTTCCCACACATATAGATAACAGTCTCGCATGAAATCTATGATGAAAATAATTGACATCGACAGAAACACTACATACCCCACAACATATTTGTATGACTGAGCTATGGATCGAAATGTTTCATTAAGGTAAATATTCTAAGGAAAACTATTGTAAGAAAGGCGTGATATCGGAGCATATCTAATGGAAACAATCCAGATACAATTATCAATTCATCGATCTTTACACACGCTCTTTCCCGCAATCACACTTCAAGCTACATTTTATTATTGCTTGTGGCTTAGATTAATCTACATTTAAGTATTGATTTAGTAACCTGCCAAAAAACAGGAATCACGTGGCAAAAAAGATAACGAATTCTTAATTTAACGCGTAGTATTTGTGTTTATAATCATTATCTCATCATATAAATGTTAAATGTTTTGAATTTTACAAGGTATTTTTGCGTTAAAATGTTAATTTTTGCGAATTAAATATTTAATATGCCCACCAGTGACCGAGTGTGTAAGACCATTAAACGCGGGTTCGTGCCTCATCAACGGCTGGCCACATGTTTTACAGATTTTATTCACGTATTAGCATCCAAGTATGGGCCAATTTCCTATATTTCCGGGTTTTATTCACTTGTCTAACACCTAGATATGGGCCAGTTTCCTATAATAAGTCATCCCACTACTATTATAGTGCACATTACACAGACTACAACTACAGGAAATTTTGAATAAAGCATTGTTGCCACGATGATAAATAGGAAAAATAAACTTCGGCACAGAAAGAGACTTCGAGCTGAACTTTGTCCTTAAAATCATTGCACGTACTGTACAGTACATTAATTTGGCTGAATGTTAGAACACCTTAAGCAAAATCAGTGAAAGAAGTTTGGGGCAATGAGTTTATGAATTAGTAAGGGGAGATGAAATCGGGAGGGACAGGACGTCCAGGTTTCTTGGTAGTTAAGCACGTCCTCGTAAATATCGCGTTTATAGAAAAGTTATTAGAGTTGGTTTGGTTTATTTGGCGATCTGCCGAGGAGGATGCATCCCTGAAAGACTTATGTAAAGCTGGTCCCAATTTAAGTGTTACTAACGCGAAGAAAACTCAGAAAACTTTACGTGGCCAGTCCTTTGGCCATTCGCGAATCCACGAGCGACTAACGGTGTTCGGTGGTTTCATCCACTCGGTTAATG